AAAATGAGGTGAAGAAGCTGAGAGATTTACAGAGGAAATTTCACAACTTAGGGCCTTGGCGGCTCTACATGTGACTACCAGTCATTAAAATCAGGAAAGGACGCAAAGCCAGAATTAGGGGAGCACAGCGATCCTGGAAGGTTGTAGGACTGGAAGAATTACGGATATGCCGGGGTGTGGGGATAGTGCCTGGATTTAAAGTCAAGGCATTCTTTGACCAGAAGCTAAGTTAGGTAGTAGGCATAGGTGTGATTAGTCACTGGGTTTTGATGCAAGCTACATCAGGTGCAGTAAAATTTTTAACGACATTAAATTTTTGGAGAGTGAAGAAGGGGATAGTGGCCAGGTGTATGCTGTAACATTAAAACCTTGAGATGAAAGGGTATGGATCTGTTCCAATCAAAAATCTATCCTTCCTTTCTTAAAATTGTACTGAGCAACAGTCTATAATAAATATCATAGATTTATTGTACAAAGTTCTAAAATAATGCCTTGATTGACTATTTAGAAATGACTTTTGAGGATTTCAAGATATAATCTTGCACTGTTAAAGCAAATTAGATCGATAACACCTCATTGGCAAAAGAACGTCTTAAGCAGCAATGTTCACCTCTTATTTTGGCACATGGAAGATATTTATTTTCAGCAAGTGGCCAAGGCTAGTAGGTCATTTGTTATTGTAGAAAAAGATCTATTCAGTGTGAAAAATAGAAATAAGAAGCCCATTACGCAATAGTTTGTGAAAACCAAACAAACTGCGGTTGCTGTAAATCGGGAGCAAAGACAGAAGTCACTGTAAAAGCTGAGCAGGTCTGGCAGCATCCGTGAAGAAAAATCAGAGTTAACGTTTTGGGTCCGGTGACCCTTCCTCAGATCTGAGGAAGGGTCACCAGATCTGAAATGTTAATTCTGATTTTTCTACACAATAGTTTGTCGTGGGTAATCCATGTTACCAACAAAAACCCTTTTTATCCCTAAAGGCGCAAAGTTCATTCAGTACTAAATGTAGCTGCCATATCTTGATATCTTAAGGTCAAGATTGCTCGAGCTGTCTCTCTTCTGCTGGTTAATATGTCTGTTTAGAAATGTTCAGTAGGTGTCTCTTACAGTGCTCATAGGTTTTGAATTTCTTAATAATAAATAGATAGAAGACTTGTTTTTAATAAGGTATTGGCACCAAGACACTCAAATGGGCAAATATATCTTTCTTTAAAACTTTAGAAACTGACTAGGGTATAGTTCCTGACAGTTTATAAACAATGCATTAAGTTTGTAAATGGCTTGGCCCCTACTGCTATCATCGATAAAGTATAGCTTCAGTATTTCCGTTTTAAGAGACAAATTGTAGTTACTGGCAATCATCTGGCAGCTGAACATTTTGGAATGATGCCAGTCAAACTGTAAAGTATCAAGTAAATGTAGGATGTGCATGAAATGTCATAATCATGTAATTTTTGAATGTTAACAGGAAAATGTTCCTTGTTTTGAGCGATGAACTTAAAACCCAGATTGTGAATGCTGAGAAAATATTTAATTGGCAGTGAATCTTTCCATTAAATTGCCCACAATCTAATTTGATTCAATTATATAAGTGACAATGGGATTGATTCTAACCTGCCAAAATTGACTGTAACTAGGCCGTAAGGACTACGAAATGGGATTGTTAGATTTACTGCCTCATTATTCATGGATAATAGTCTGCTCCGAGTTTCAGAGAGGCCTACCACTGGATGGTGGAAACACTTGCCTATTTTATGCCATGGCTGCTCCCTTTAGACAAATCATAGTGCTTTCATTTGCATAGGATCATAATTGTCATTTTAATGTAGAACACTACATGCTCTCCTGTTCCTTTCATGGACAATTGTGCTGAAGGTGTCTCGGTAGCAGACATTTTAAATAACTTCTGTAGGATCAGCAGGAGCTCAGGTGCTTCAAACACTGCAGAAATAATTTAGGTGGCTGACCCCTTAGGATACTCCTCCCTCTATCTCAGCAAACACGATCGCTCAGATCTGCTCCCCCCCTCCCTTATCAGACATCGCTGGCAGCCTAGTGACCTATTTGATGTCCAATATTGGGCTATCATCATCATGTGAGCTGTTTTAGGAGAAACATTTGGTCCTCTCAGCTTTTTGGCTCCATTGCAATGAGACTGGGGTAGGGCAAGATGCCTGGGAGTCTTGCTTCAGTAATTGGTTACTCAGAACTTAAGATCAACAACAATGTTTGGAATAATCCATCATTTTGTTCTTCATATTCACTCAACTCAACCAGATTTTCTACACTTCAGATGTGCTATGGGAGCCCTTGGAAGCCTTAATGTACAAACTATTGCCTGGAAAATTGAAACCTCTGATGGTCAATTTTCTGACGTCTGGAACCCTCCAAGAAATCTTCAACTTTGAGTTAAAACCGAAGACTTCAGATGGTTCTTATTTGCTTACCTGATTGTTAATCCAGAAAAGTTAGAGGAATTAAAACATAGAAACATTGAATATAGGAGCAGGAGTAGGCCAGTTGCCCTCTCAAGCCTGTTCTGTCATTCACTATGATCATGGCTGATCATCCAGCTTAGTACCCTGTTCCCGTTTTCTCCCCATCTCGCTGTCCACATGACACCCATCTTGATCCCCTCTGAGCACCTGACTAATCCTCCTTCCCCCCCGATAACATTCCATTACCTAATCTCCTGCCCTACCCCAAACTTGACCTGCCTGGGAATCTAATTGTCAGGCACCCAATGCCTCACGGATCATATTTGGCGTCCAACCATCCCTTCTGACAACCCACCTCCTATCTGCCATAGTGTCCCCCTCCATCACCAACCACCATGACCCCTCAGGCACCCATCTGTCAACTGCCCACTCACATGTCCACCTGCTATCCTACCCTTCTTCCACCCATCTGCCATACTATCCTCTCATCCATTCAACTACCATCCTATCCATCCTAAATAGCTTACATATGCCTTTTAAAATTCAGAATACAGCAGTTACTGTTGTAAATAGAGGTCTTGTAAACCGATCCAGTGTTGTTTGCGAGGCTCTGTGTACAAGTTTGCTCTGTTTTCCAAAGAGGCCTGAATTAGAAGTTGAGCCCAGAAACTGAGCTTCAGGGCAGGATAAGTTGAAAGGAGTTGGGTGTGAAGCCAGCTGTGAACCATTCCTCAGAAGATTTAGGATATTGTCTCCCAAAAAGCCAGCATGTCTTGTCACCTAATCTTCCTGCTGCCTTTTGAAATCTGATTAACAAAGTGACATTACTGAAGGATAGTCATTAATCCGACAAAATATCCTTAACAAAGGATTTGGGAGGTAGTCTTCAGAGATAGAAGTGGGCAGCTTACACTTGTTGAGTTATAGAGTCATGCGGCATGGAAGCAGACCCTTCGGTCCAATCGGTCCATGTTGACCATAATCCCAAACTAAACTAGTTCCACCTTCTTGTTCTCGGCCCATATCCTCCACACATTTCCTATTCCTATATCTATCCAAATGTCTTTTAAACACTATCATTATAACAGCATCCACCACTTCGTCAGGAAGTTCATTCCACACATGAACTATCCTCTGTGTAGAAAATTTCCTCTCATATCTTTTTTAAATCTCTCTCCTCTCACCTTAAAAATGTGCCCCCTAGTTTTGAAATTCCCCATTCTAGGGAAAGACAATGACTATTAACTCTATCTATACCTCTCATTATTTTATAAACTTCTAGCAGGTCACCTCTCAACCTCATACGCTCCAGTGAAAAAAGTCCCAGCTTATTTAGCCTTTCTTTATAACTCAAACCTTCCATACCCAGCAACGTCCTGATAAATCTCTTCTGAGCCATCTCCAGCTTGATAATATTCTTCTTATAACTGGACAACTGGAACTGGACACAATATTCCAGAAGAGGCCTCACCAAAGTCCTGTACAACCTCAACCTACACTCGGAGGACTGAGCAATGAAGGCAAACATGCCAAATGGCTTTTTAACCACCATGTGAAGCAAACTTCAAAGAATTATGTACCCGCACTCCTCGGTCCCCCTGTTCTAAAACACTACTCAGGACCCTAACATTGATTGTATAAGCCCTACCCTTATTTGTAGTACCGAAATGCAATACCTTGCATTTATCCAGATTGAACTTAATTTGCCTTTTTGTAGCCCTTTAACCCATTTGATCAAGATCCCTTTGTAATCCTAGAAAACCTTCTTCACTGTCAACTATGCCACCAATTTTGGTATCATCAGGAAGATATTGTGAAGAGATTGCAAACTTATGAGTAAGAGATGAAATATTGAAAACAGTATGTAAAGACTTTGACCATTTTGACACCAGGTTCTGGTTCAAACTGAATACTAGAGTTCTGCATGTGTCAGAAGTACTGATCAATAGTTCACATTAAATACACTCTGATTTTTGATCACAGTTTATAGTGACCCCCTCATAAGTAATGTACGTTGCACTTGCCATCTATTCTTAATGCAGAAAATGTTTTGAGTTTTGGGTTTTCAACTACTTCAAATTTTGACATGACATTGCTATTTAAAGTAAAAAAAATATATAAAATACATATTTTCTGATCATGCTACAAGGTGTTAGTTACTACCTCCAGTAATCTGAGTGCACACAATGAAATAAAGATCAATTGATGCATTTATTCAGGCAATTGGATATTCTGTGGTTTAAAAAGAAAATCCTCATCCATTTCAATGTGGAGGGCACAGTTAAAGCCTGTTAAAGTCACAATGTTGAAATGGGGAAAAGTTATTTTGTGCAGTGTGCGATTAACAGCAACCAATATGATCTTACCGTACTTTGACATTAGGAAAACAATGTTAATACGAAAGCCACGTGCACCATGCACTTATCAGTGATAAACTGTCAACCCAAATTGAAATCTAAGTCATTGTATGAATTTAGTTCGTTCAGATTTGGAAAGCTTTCATTGAAAACAAATAACAGCTGCATACTTCTGCCTTAAGCGATTTTGCTATTATTTTCCCAGTATTCCTATATGCTATGACATATTATCAAGACCAAGCAGAAATTTGTATGCTTCCCTACTTGCTGAGCTTCTGTTGGCAGCAGCTGGAACATGTTGACAGGTGAGTGGATTGGATTTTATGTTTATCTTGTGTTATTTTGTATGTCTGGTCCACATAGATGAAGTTGTGTTGCCCTGTATATTTTGATTCACTGAGTTTCATATTGGCCTGCTGACTTGGGCAGCTACACATGGGCCAAAAGCTTTGACATTTGTTTTTATTTAATGATCCAATTAATTTTAATTTTGTTAAGGGTGGCCAAGCATAAGTATCATTTGACAAAATGTAACATTTTGTTGCAGTTCTGAAAAACACTTCAACTGCAAATTCAATCAGGGATAGTAGGAACTGCAGATGCTGGAGAATCCGAGACAACAAGGTGCAGGGCTGGATGAACACAGCAGGCCAAGCAGCATCATAGGAGCAGAAAGGCTGACGTTTCGGGCCTAGACCCTTCATCAGAAAAGGGGGAGGGGAAGGGGGTTCTGAAATAAATAGGGAGAGAGTGGGAGGCGGATAGAAGATGGATAGAGGAGAGGATAGGTGGAGAGGAAACAAACAGGTCGAAGAGGCGGGGATGGAGCCAG